AGGGACAGCCCCGGGGACAGGCTGGCTGGTGACACACACTGAGTCCCCGTGCTCTGCGCTCCCGGTGCCATTCGGCCCTGTTGCCGGTAAAGTGCCACCCCAAACACACGCTCCTGGAACGGGGGCCGTGGCAAGGGAAGGGCTTATTTAAATTATTAATTAGCTTTGTTTTTAAACACGGGCTCCGAGCGGCCTCCGCAGCAGAAGGAATTGTTATTAAACGCCAGCCCTCCGGCAGGCAGGCCATGTGTGCGCAGCAGAGCCCGCAGCGCTTGGCTGCCAGATAAAGACGTTATTGTTGTCATCGTGCCTCCGTCCCAGCCCTCCGCCTCCCGCGCTCCCACCCACCCCCCGCCAGGCTAGGCTCACTCGTGGCGGAGCCGCGGTGCCGAGAGGAGGAGGAGGAGGAGGAGGAGGAGGAGGGAGACAGCCAGAGAGAAACTTGTCTTGGGGATTAATAAGAGGCAGGAGGAGGGAGAGGTGCACACAGGTAAGCTGTGGGCAGGTGCTTTCCCCCAGGCTTTTCTCGCCTTGCCTGACCCTCCGACCCAGGACGCTGCACTGGTCCACGATGCTCCTGCCCTCTCCAGCCTCCCTTACATGCAAAGCAGCATCTGCTCTTCTTTTTTTTTTTTTCCCCCCCTCTCGTTGGTTTTTCTGTTCTTCAGCAGCTGGAGTCTTTGTTCCTTCCTTTTTCTCTTTTTCCAAGAGTTTTTCTCAGCATGGGGCAGGCTGGGGTGGAGGGGGGGTACTTTGGGGCTGCAAAGTCAGAGGAAAGTCCCGTGTGTGATAGCGTTGCAGCTGCTGCCAGCCACTTTCTGCGGGGGTGAGCGAGGACCCCCTTGTGTGTCCCCCCCCCCGGCACCGACCTGTGCTCTCACATGCTCACAACCCCACGCACGCTTTGCTCTGGCTCTGCAGCCGGGGAGGCAGAGCTGGGGGTGCCGGGGGGGGGCTGCACAGCCCGAGCCATGCCCAGGGCAGTCCCCCCGCCTTGGAAAGCAGCAGGGGAAGTGTGC